CTCCCATGGTTCGTTCTGAACCAGAACCGGTACCGGCCCGAGTCGCTCTCTCTCAGGTCTGTGAGTCTCAGAGTGCAGGCAGTCGGACCACAGAGAGTCTGAACCCGACCTGCGGAGTCCGGCTCTGGCCTCAGACCCACAGGACGGCCGTTAAGGAACCACTGAGTTTCTCCCTCAGCTAAACGATAAAGTGTTTGATCAGATGTTTGATCAGATGTTTGATCAGATGTTTGGTTCTGTGATCTGCTGGATTCATTCTGATGTTTTTGGATCCTGAGGGAAACGGAGCTGAATGAGACAGAGGAGTCCAAACACTGAGCGCCTCAGATGATCCCTCCAGCTCGTCTCCCGTATCGGCTCAGAGCGAAGAGCATCAGCAGACATGATGAAGAGCTGGCAGAGACGGTTCTGACCCGGTTTCCTGCCTCTTCAGCCTGCGGTCGAGTGGCTGCAGAGAGAAACGTCAGACAGCAAACCCTGATGTGTGGGAGGCTGCTGATGTCTACGACAGATAAGACTTAGCTCACTGCTAACAGGAAGCCTCATGGTCACCTCAAGCACAAACTGAAATAATTCATCAACACCACAAGAAACGAGGCGACGCTTGCACTGCAAAAACTCACCAAGTTTACAAATATAACTTACAGTAACTTCTCAGCAATGGAGGCTTGTTTTAAGCTGATAACTCCTCAGTATTGATGAAGAAGTTCTGGTTCCACTGGCAGATTATTTAATCTGCAACATGGAATAATCTGCAATTCTTTAAATGAGTATTAAGAAATTATTTCAGATATTTGCTCAACAAACTAAAGAAAAATTACTTGGTAAGATTTTGTGGTTTTCCAGTGTAGTTCTGTCTGTGTTTCTGGATTTAAGTAAAGTCTGATTTTAAAGTGTTATGGATGGATGATGGATGGATGGATGGACGGACGGACGGATGGATGGATGGATGGATGGATGGATGGATGGACGGACGGACGGACGGACGGATTTTTGTTAATAATAAAGTTAGTTCTTTCTATTATCTGCTCAGAAACCTGATATTAAGTTTTTCTGTTTTCCTCAGATTTTGCTCAGATGAATCAGAGCCAACATTTACAGTCTGTGTTTCTAGTATGTGTCTCTCTGTGTGATTTTGGTAAAATGTGGCCTACCTGACCCGGAGAGGAGCAGCAGGAGTCCACTGAGAGCGCTGGAGAAACTCATGGCTCCTTCCAGCTCAGCTGAACGTCTGCAGGTCGCCTCATTTCAGCTCTGAAGGACTCTGGCTGTAAAGCATTTCTCTGGTTTGTGGTTTGAGACGGAAATGATTCTGTGAAATCTCTGTGATCTTTGTCCAGAGATGATGTGATGAGAAACCATCATGCTCAAAGCTCCAGCAGTCTGACTGACTTCTCAGGAAAATCTGAGCAGACTTGTTTCCTGCCAGCAGAGGAAACTTTGAGGCCCAGTTTACAGCGACCCGGTCTAATCGGTGAAGAACTCTGTGGTTCTGGTTCTGCTGCGGTCTGCATGGAGGTGTGTGCATCACAAGGACTCGCTGTGGAGAGCGCCATGAAACCACAAGCGGAACATTTTTACTTTAGACTTGTTTTGTTGGATTTCACCTGCAGTCGTGGCTAAATGTGTTTGATGGATCAACATTTTTAGATTTTATTTGTTTCTACAGTAAAATAAAAAGCTTAGATCCAAATATTTAAGTCAAAAGATTTTACTAAAATAAAACCTGCAGAGTGGACATTTCCTCCTGTCTCTATCAGCCTGTGGTTCTCTGGACTTTGTTCTGACCCGTTCCCTCCTATCGGCGCTGATCCGTTTATCAGATCTGATCTGAGGCATTTTAATGCTCTGATCATCATTCAGGAAAAACAGTGAGCTGAACCTGAACTGTTGGAAGAGATCCACTCAGGACGTTCTGGTCTGTCTGGCAGTTCTTTGAGCTGAAGCTGAAGGTCCAAACGGGCTGGATCAGGATTCCCTCATCCTGAGGGAGGATTCATCAGAGAAAACAGCTTTGCTCCAGGCCTCTGCTGGTCATTCTTCCTGCAGAATTTCACTCTGCCTTTAATGGGTTTTTAAGATGTCTACTTAATTTTTCTGAGCAAGCTCTGCACTGGTGGCATCGTGATTCTGCTGCGCTCTCCTCATGATGGTGCTGGAACCGGCTGCATGAAGTAAAGCTGCAGCTCATCGAAGCCTTCCAGACACAGGAACATGTGTCTCCAGAATAAACTGGGACTGAAACGGTTTGATTTTCATTCTGGGTTTTCTCTCCATTCCTGATCCAGAAGAAGGAATGATGACCAGCAGAACAGCTGCTGCCACAGTTCAGCTCCTCTGACACCTAAACATCTTCATTCTCTGATTTTATCACCTGGACTCGAAGAGCTGGAGAAGAAGATAAGTCATAATTTAACGCCTGAGATCATGTGTGTAAAATAATGAAACACATTAGAGGGTAAATAATCCATCCTAACTGTGCCATTAATTTCTGCTCAGTTTAAACAGGAAAATAATCCAAACTATTGTTAAATCCTGACTTTTGTTGTTTTATTTCTGGTTTCAATGTTATTTTTGTCTCCTTTTGTTTCTTTCTTTGATTAGATCAGCCGTGTTTGTGTTCAGTTCTTGTTAGTGATTTTAGTTTATTACCGTATTTTCTGCACTATAAGGCCCACCGGATTATAAAACGCATAGAATAGACGCTACAGTAGAGGCTGGAGTTACATTATGCATCCACTAGATGGAGCTGCACTAAAGAGAATGTCAACAAAACAGTCCGACTCTGGTCAGTGAGGAGAGCCTTCTGACCGGGCCGGACGATGGTCACCCTTCTCGGTTCGCCCACAGCATGTTGGTGGAGAACCTGGTGCTAAATGACCTGCAGACGACCTGATTCTAGACGGTCGGTAGGTAGATAGGTCAGTCAGACTTTATTAACAAACCAGCGTTCTGACAACTATCCCAGCATGCACCGCGCGCTTCTACTTCTGCGGGCGAAAATGAAGTCGGCAGCTGCTTACCGTAGTTGCTAAACCTGTTGTGGCTCAATATTGTTCCATATATAAGGGGCACCGGATTATAAGGCGCACTGTCGACTTTTGAGGAAATTTAAGGTTTTTAGGTGCGCCTTATAGTGCGGAAAATACGGTATGTTTATTCTTTCCTTGTGTCTAGATATTTACTCTTAGATCCATTTTCAATAGTCTCCCTCTGTGCCATTTACTGTCTCCTCACACCTGTAACCCTCACCAGCCCAGATCTGCTGATTCAGTATTTAAACACTAAATGGTTCTGCTGACTTGATCTTCAGAGACGAAGCAGCTGCAGTTCATGGAGATACTGCTGTGAACGACCCACTGCATCGACTGCTGGGTCAACTAAACTAAACTAAACTGAACTTAATGTTACTTAACTTAACTAAACTAAATTAAATGTTGAAACGGAGCAGAACTGCAGTCTGTGACTTGCCGTGAAAACAGAAACTCTGACCTGATCTGCTGAGTTTAGCAGCAGGTTGTCATCTTTCTACATATTTTCACAATTTCCACAAAATCACATTTATGATGTTCATTGGAATTAGAATGATGTTCATCATAAATTTAACATTTCTAATTGATCATTTCAGTCTAAACAGGAAATTGTTCAGATAGAAATAATAACATTTTAACCCCTTAACAGTCGCCATCAGAACACTGACATGTTAGTTAATGGGTTCATGAAGGATCAGTGTCATCCTGACAGTTAAAGGGTTTTAAAATAAAACCAAGTTAACCGTCTTTCTAAAAATCCACAAACTCAGAATCTCAACAACATCAGAAGAATAAAGAACACAGACATTATCCAAATGTTTGTTTTTATGATGAATTCAACATATTTACAATTTTATGAAGTAGTGAAACAGAGCTACAGTCTGAACTCTGAGGATATTAGCGCCACCTACTGGTTGATCTGCAAACTGTCCCTTTCAGTTTCAGAGTTTGATGCTTTGATGACCTCAGCAGGTCCAGAAAGTGGAGCTTCATGAACCGACTGGTTGCTCTGCGATTTTTCAGGAATAGATTTCAGGCTATGAAGCAAATTAAACTGTTTAAAGGAAGAAAAAGAGATTTATTATAAATCATCCAACATGCAGAGTCATAATCCAGCCCAAAGCTCATCAGGTCCTCCGTCTGTTTCTCTGATCCAGCTCGTTAGTGAAACCGGGTCAAACCAAGCCCGGTTCTGGAGGTAGACCTCAGGTAGCTCAGTGTTCATGTTTTCACCTCATCAGGACCAGAAATGTGATTTAAAATGAGGTGTAACACCTCATATCAGCCAGAAGAGGGCGCCAACAGTCCAGCAGGCCGCTGATCCACCTATCAGTAATTTTATACCATAGATGCATAAATATTTAATCTGATTGATAAACTAAAATCAATCTGACCAGAAAAGTCACTTTTCTTTATTGGGAAAAAAAAGTATTTTAAGAGAAAGTCTGACTTCAAAGTAACAAAGATAATAAAAAATACAGACAATGTAGAAGAAAAATATAGTCAGCACATCACATCTTGAGTTTTTAGCACTTTTCATATTTCATTTGTGTTCTAACGCTATGAATTATTTCCTCTAAACTTTGTTGCTGTTAAGCATCAGACAATCGGAGTCAGCTCAGACTGGCGCAAAGCCAGTTCAGTCAGAAATACATGATATGAGTCTCTTTGCTCCATGTTTCTAATAAGGTTTAAAGTTTTCTACTGCAGACGTCCAGAAGTGGACGCCTTCTTCTCACAGACCCACTGCAGCAGCTGAGAGCACCACTCTTCGCTCCACGACCGGCCGCCTCTGTTAAAAGCTGCACAGCTCTGGGTTCTGCTGGTCCAAGATGTCTGCCGCGTCCAGAACCTGCAGAGGAAACCGGGGTCACTCAGGTCAGCGCAGAGGAAACCAGGTGGATTTAGCTGGTTCTGCTCCTACGTGACTCCTGGAGAACTTCCATCGGTCCACTTCCATCCAGAACCTCGGCTCGCTTCCTTCAGCCCGATCCAAAACTTCAGCTGGGCTCCGAGCTGATCCAGGAACTCCTGAGGACGTCAGACGTCTCGTTACTCCGCATTCAGAGACGAGGAGGGAAAGAAGCCGCTCACCATTTCCTCCTGGCTGCTGATGGTCACCAGATCGGATCCGGTCCGTAAACACTGAGCTCTGCTGGCTTCCCAGCTGTTCATCGACGAAGACAGAAGGTAACAACTGCAGCCGAACCGCCTCCATCCTGCAGGGCAAAACACTGGCAGAGCCCAGGCAGAAACACTTCATTCCTCAGGAAAAACCCATTTTCAACTCATTGAAGATTATTCTGACACCCCAAAATAAAAACTTTAGTTTCCAGCAATGCATTTTAACCATGTTAGTTAGTTACTCTAAAACAATCCATAAAATCCTTCATGTTGTTTTAAATGCTGCGGTTCTGATCAGAACCCTCACCAGAACCGCTCCTCATCCGGTCCAGATCAAGTTCTGCCGCCTTCAGACGGGCGTCCAGCCAGTCCCTCTGATTGGTCAGGTTCTGCTGCCTCAGCAGCAGCTGGCCTCTCTCTGCCGTCTGATTGGCCAGCTGTCTGCTCAGCTGGCTGAAATCTCTCTGGTCTGAGGATAAAAACAGGAAGTGTTACCTCAGCCCTTCATCATCATCATCCTCACCCCAGGTGGAGACTCACACAGGAACCCGACCGCCACCACCGACGTCAGCAGGAGGAAACTCAGCAGTCCCAGAAAAACTTTCAAACACGAACCGGTTCTGGTTCTGGTTCCCCTTTCAGAGGAGGTTCCCTCTGGTTTACCTCCTGCAGGAGCATCAGATTAATCGATTCGTTAGTCGGCTGTAATGAAGCCAAAACTTTACAAAAATATAAACATTTAACGTAATAAAATCTTTATCTGTAAATCTGCCACCCAGAACCCGTCCAGAACCTGGACCAGGTTTTATCTTCACCTGGTTCAGGTTCTGTAAAGAAAAATCCCAAATTAATCATCAATCAATAGCGAGTTTTCACATGTTGATGTTAGAAGTGATCAAACATTCACTAAATACTTTTACTGACTTTTAACAACTAAAGGAGTAAAATTATTTATGTTTTTTATGTTTAGTTAATATTGTTTAAAATTGGTTTATGTGGTTAAATGAAAACTCTGCAGAATGTGACAAACCTTTAATCTGATTAAATAATTATTAGAACAAATGATCAGTAATATAATGGTTGGCTGTATGTAAATATATGAGCCTTTGTGGATCAGAGGAACTGACTGACATTTAAAATCTGCATCATTTTAATGAACAGATTTTCAGACTTTTCTCTCTGAAACGAAGCAGCAGAATGAAACCGTCTGCTCTCAGTTCCTCATCCTGTCGTTCTCAGAGAAAAGATTCACTTCAACTGTTTATCCATCATTTATGACGCAATGTTATAAAGACAAACATTAAAATAAATCATAAAATGTGCAGCTACTGCTCAGAAAATAAAAAAATAATGAACATTTCAATCTCCAATAATCAATAATCCAATTGATAATTAACATTTGATACAGACCACAAGACTGATTATCCAAGCAAGTTCATAGAAAGTTGAGTGGAAGGACAAAATGTACCACCACTCTGTCAGGCTAAGTCTGTTCCAGAATGTGGAGTAGTTTCATCAGGACCTCCAGACTGTCACTCTATGTGTTATAGATCTACGTATCAGATGAGCTTCACCTCCTAACGGCAGGAACAAAAAGATTTTACCGTTTCACAATATTCTAATTACTGTAATTATTTCAGATGCATCTATTTTCTAATTCATCAGTTAAAATTAAAAACCCTGATTTTTCTTAAATGAATTAGCATTCATGAAACCCATCAGTTTGCTGCTGGACGTTCAGGCGTACCGGCGCGTTCGGGTCGCTGCTGTTTGGATCCGTCCAGGTCCTCCAGGTTGACGTAAATGTTTTCTTCTTCTGGCTCCATCAGCGCCGCTCCGTCCTTCAGACCGACCCGCTGGCCCGTTTCAAACATCTGATCGCTCGTCAAGCAGCAGCTGACCCACCAGGTTTCTGTTCCTTTAACTCTGGAACCACAAGCTTCAAATGCTGACATTTACACTAAATTTATCATCATTTTGGTTCAGAGCAGATTCCAGGTTCAAGTTTGACCATTTTTCATTTCTTTATTTAACAAAACCTGTTCTACAGTCTGCTGGTGACAAAATTATTCATTTAAATTGGCTGTGTGATTTCTGCTAGGATGCCTCATCAATTTCATGTAATTATTATTAATAATTATAATAATACATAAATAAGCAGAGTTAGCTATAAGCACTTTGACAATAAAGTTCACAGAAGATATTTTATCTTTTACAAATCAGACGCTGTCGACCAATGTTCACCACATCCGTGATTCTAACTCCTGACTCTCCACCAGGGGGCGTGACTGAGTGACAGGCATTGTTGGAAACAATTCAACTGCAGTACCACCACTCATCCCAAAGAGGGCAGCACCGAGACGCTCTAGGCCAAATTTTGTAGAATTAAACTAATTTATACAAAAATGTCAGAATACAAGCAGAAACATAAAAATAAATCAATTTAAACATTTTATCTAAAAAAAATTGGCTTGGGGTTTAGGAGACCAAACCTGAATTACCAAGGTTCACCTGTCCAGGGTGAACCCGCCTCTCGCCCAAAACGTTCACTGGAGATCGGCACCAGCACCCTGCTGACCCCAGTAGGGACAAGGGTGTTAGAAAATGAATGAATGAAACGATGGACAGACAGACGGACGGACCAAGGAGACATTTTCTCCTTTGAGATAAAACCTGACAAGAACTACAAGAAGGCAGTTTGCATCTGTTTCTAAATTCACTTCTGGGATAGAAACTGAGCTTTCCAAACCGTCCAGGATTGTAAACAGATTTTAACTTCATTTTTAACTTCGTCTCTGGAAGCTGACCGGTGCTGAAGCAGCCTGACTGGACGATCATTTGTTTGCTGCAGAAACAGAAACTTCCTGACTGTAGGAGCAGAAACCTTCACAGAAACAACGAATCCCACAAAAAATACTTTTATTCATAAATTCAGTCTCAGTTCTGCACAAATTTCATTCATTACAGACAAACATGAGAAATGTAGAAGCTGACAGCAAATCTTCAGTGCAAATATTGGTGATTATTGGTCATTTGCTTCACTTCAAACACTAAAAAATATAATTAAAATTTTAACTTGTTCCTTTGTCAAGGTAAAGTGACTTGTTTCTTTCATGTCCCTCACTGAGGACTTGGACCTTTTTAATAACAAAAAACTACAAAAACAGTTTTAGACATTTGGTATTTTCAGTTTAAGATACAAAAACATAATATTTCATAATAAACCATAAAATCACTTTAGAATAATTAAAATCATCATCCTGAGTCTTCAGCTTGAATCTCCAACCGGCATAATTTGAAGCAGGAACTCAGAATTAGTCCTAGTCAAAGTCCTGACAGGTCTAGTAAACATAGTCCAGCATGATGTGCGTGCGTGGATACCTGGGATACGGAGAGGTCCAGCCTGGAATCCGCTGGAGGAGCTCGTCATCCCAGTTCGAGCTCCAGATGTTCCTGACCAACCAGAACAAACATCTGGCTGCCAGGCAGAGCGCTCCGGCTTTCAGGACGAGTTTCAGGAACCAGGAAAATGCACCGCCGCCGCCTTTACCATAGCTGCCTCCAGATCCATAACCAGATCCATAACCAGATCCATAACTGGATCTTATCCAGTAATCTTCATCATAATCTGCAGAAAGAAAGTCAGAAAAGTCAAATCTGTGCTCAGCCTCAGAAATATATCCACTCTGGTTTTTATTGTCACATTCATACAATTAAAGTTAATCAAATTGATAAAACTTCACAAATTAACTGCTTATGGTTAAAACAATTGAAAAAACAGGAACAAAATGTAAATGAATCACTCTCCTCACATTCTCTAAAGTAAAGGATTAAATTCCTGTTCAATTGGATTTAGTGCTTTAGCATTAGCTACCACTGCCTACTGTGTTGGTGTAGCACTTTAGCATTAGCACAACTAATGTTTTAGTTAGTGGTAGCTACCACTGCATTCCTTCATCTATCCATCTATTGGTGGGAAAACTTCTGCTAATGTGCTAATAGCAGAGCTAACATCCTCTACCCACAATGCAGTGCAGCAAATGACATTTATTCTCTACCAAGAACATTAAATATACTATTAGTTGTACTACATGTTGTGTCATAGTGGACATAAACATGAATTTAGCGCTTTAGCATTAAGCTTCTGCTAAATATCAAGTTGGTAAAACTCTTTAGCATTAGCTTTAGCTAAATATTTTGAAATAGTACTTTATTAACAGAACTAATATTAATGACTAGCGGTTTTTTGCTAGCGCAGCTAGCTTTTTGGTTAGCGGCGCCTCCACTGGGTGACCTTTGCCTCGTTTCTGTAAACCTCTATAAAATGTGAAAACAGGTTGAGTGGAACTCATGTTTACCTCGGTACGGATCCGACCAGCTGGAGCGCCAGGAAACTTCCCTCCGAGGTTTCGGTTTCTTGCTGCTTTTCTTCTTCTTCCTCTTCCTCTTCTGCAGCGGAGTGTAACACACCAGGCTCCCGCTGCCGTCTGTGTTGGTGCTGGAGCAGAACCGGTCCAGGTCCAACTGGCGACTGAAGGCCTGGGAGAAGAACCCGGTCGGAACGTTCTGCATCATGTTCAGCATCATCTGGACCGATGGGTCCGGCGCGTCCTGGAGCATCTCTACGTCGTCATAGTAACCCATCTGCGTGAGGAGGGAGCTGAGGTCCAGCTGCGGGTTCTGCAGAAGTCGGATCAGTTGTGAGCTGACCTCATGAGTTCCATCGGATCGGAACCGTCCAGCGTCGGCGTCGTCGTGTTCTGTGACGTAGACCTTGTCGACCAGCCGGGTCTTCACCTGGTAACTGATGATGATGCGGTCGCTGTTGGAGACGCCGTCCGCCCCGAGGTTCTCCCGGACGAACGCCGGCAGGTCGGCGGACTGCGGGTAGGACTGGATGCTCAGGTTCCCGACCACGAAGTAAACCAGCTGGAGGGAGGAGAGAGGGAGTGAACCCGACCTCTGAACGAGACCGGCCGCAGCACATCAACTGTTTCCATCCTGAACGGTTTGACATTTTTACAATCAACCAAACTCTTTTTTTAAAGATTTTTAAATATTTGTCTGTTTTCAGCTGAACGACCGACAAACCTGATTGTCTTTGCTTAGAAATGAAATTTTTAGAGGGGAAGTATTGGGAAAGTTTCTACTGCTTCTAAAAACCCAAAACATCCAGATGTTTTTGATAATAAATTAATGTTTTTAGTATCTGGAAAATGAGCCGTTTCAAAAACCTCCAGATAGTAATACCACAAATCAACAGGCATTGCCATGTTACCTAGCAACCCCAGCAAAGCTCAGCCCGTTGCCTAGCAACGCCAGTAAAACCCATCTGTTGACCTCCAGCAGATAGGTCAGCTGGTTTTACCGCTTGCAGACATTTTCACGTGCGAGTGTAAAGACTGAGCTGGGGGCGGGGCCAGCAGCAGCCGATTTGTATTTAAAGTGACAGAGACTCTAAAGCAGCTCAACTGGGCAGAACTGAGCAGATTGAAACATCATCTAAAATTTTTGTGCAAAAAGTGTAATGAACATGTTTACTGATGTGAGCATTTCTGCTGCATTCAGCATATTTCAGCATTATTCTGTTACTTTATTCTGCAGGTAGAAGTAGAAGGGACCCCTGGCCCGGTGCTTTGACTCTTCTTGTCTCTGCTGGATGCAGCCACTGCTGAGCTTTGCTTCTATTAGCAACACACTGAGCTGCACCACATATCGGATTGCAACCGTCACCCCAAGGACTGCTTGGAGGCAATATTTAGAAGGATATAATATTTCATATGCTTTTCATTCATGCTATCGATACTCTCTGGCCATTTGAAAGAGCTATAAGAACACCAGAAGTTTTTCTTTACAGGCTGGAGCTCATGGTGTAGCAATAAACAAAGAACAGGGTCTAGAAAAAAAGGCATTTTTCAACAATCGTATCACAATCTTCACAAAAAAAAGCAACATTTCAATGCTGAAGGAGAAGCAATGACGGGGCAGGAAGAGCACATGACCCTTCTCTGTAAACAGAATCATAACACATAAGCAGAAGGGATGGCCTTTTTAAAGAGTAATGCACATTTAAATACAAACATTTCACGATTTTCAGGAAATATTTTCCTGAAATTGTGCAGATGGACCAGTCCAAGTACTTCAGGGTTTTCCTGCTGCCGGTAACTTCCAGTTCCTGCTTTTAAAAATTTACTAAAAAATCATCTGGAGATCAAATTCTGTCATTTTGACAGAATTTGATCTGTTATTTTCATTCAGCGAAGGCAGCAGATGTAAACGGCTACAGGGCCTGAACAGCAACACTCTTCAGTCTGGATGTTGTTACTGAGTGAGGAAGCCGTCTAACATTAACCTGAGATCAGCCAATGAGCCCTGCAGACGTTATGGATGGAGAAGCACGGAGCGCTGCTGACCTGCCTGGTGCTCTTGTTCTTCTTGGGTTTGTGGAGAGCAGGCAGAAGTTCCTCCATGTTCCCAAACCTGTGGAAGCCGTAGGCCCCGTTCTCCGGCTGACACCCCGACACCAGCTGAGAACCGGAGGGACATGTTTACACGCCGCTTTGTTAGCAGGACGGAGGCAGAGCGGAGCGCTTCACCAACCTTCATGACGTCCACTGAGTTCTCCGGTTCAAAGGTCACGCAGTGGTTGGAGAACCAAAACAGCAGCTGGAGGCCGTGGCGAGGAAAAGGACGACCGAAGCCAGACGTGTCCAGGTGGTCGAGGGTGTGGATCTGCCACAGAACCATGGCGGCGCCAACATGGACGCCAAGGCTGATGATTCCTGAGGAAAACATGACAGAATGGCCTCATTAGAGAACAGGAACGATTCATTAAAACGGTTCTTCATCACCTTCAGGCCGTCAGTCTGACCAAGAACAACCAACAAATTCAACTGGAAAATATTAAACATTTAATTTTATTAAGCAGGCCAGCTTTATTTACCCTTTTATACAAATATTGATGCAATCTGCTGTTGTTTAGATATCAACAGAGACTTTCAGGGGGATTTCTTATCAGCAGTCATTCTTTTCATTTGGCCAGTTTTCTCTAGACGAACCCAACTTTTGGACATGGAGTTATTCATTGTGACTCAGGTCGGGTCTTTCCAGACTGTCTCATTTATTCAACCCAGAATCAGTTATTTGTGTTGCCATGTTGGATCATCCAGCTGTGTCCACATTTCAAACATTAACTGTTTATTTGAGGTAAGTTTAAAGAATCTGGAGAGAACATGTAAAGAGCCCAGGCTGGGATTTGAACCCAGAACCTTTTTGCATCGATGTGTTAAAAACTCACGTTTGAAAGCATCACTTCACCTCCTGTAAACATTGATCCTGTCATTTTGGCCAAAATAATTCTGCTTTACAGTTGAAAATAGCTTCTTTTATTATTATACTGTTATTTATTATATTTTGTTTAATAAACCGTGTTTCTATTAAAATACAGTTTATTAAACTGTACTTTAATCACCGTTTCCACTTCATATAACCTGCAGATTGTCTGAGTAAAATGAACAAATAATGGCAAAAGTGGACAAATATCACTGAGTCTGCTTTTACATTTTTACCCAAACATTTCATAGAGACTGAAGTCCATTGTTTTCCTGTTGTCATCATATAATCCAGATTCAACTTTAATAATTTAAATGTTTATCATCTTAAAATAAAGAATAAATAAACGCGAAAACATATAGCCGTTAAAGATGAGAGCAGAGCGTTCTACCTGTTTCCTTGTTTTCCAGCAGAGGGAACGCAACTGCAGCGCTCGACGTCAGATACGACGTCAGATACGTGCTCGTTCACGTCGGTTCCAAACGCGCGTTCAAGTGTGACGGCGTCCCTGCTGCGTCAGTCACGCGCCTCCTCGCTCCCGATGCTATCCTTTTCCCAACAACCAGAAGATAGATGTTTCGATTTCAGGTGAGCTTTAACCTTGAGAATCGGTTCCGGTCCGGTTCTGGACGGGAAGTCTGGGGCCTTAGGAAGGTGTTGAGGGGGAGTCTGGCCTGGTCGGTGTTTAAATGTCCTCCATTCCCTTTTGTTTGGTCCTCAATGCGACCTGCGGCCTGTGAAGCAGCGCGCTTTCCTGCTGGCTTCATGCGGAGTGACGGCGTGCGTTCTCCGGTGCCATGGCCCAGAACGGATCGGTGGTTTTATGGGTCTGCCTGTGTTATAATAGGCCAGATTCTGATAGTTGCCGTGACACCGCTAGAAGGAGCTGGTTTCATAAAGTTTTCCGTCTCCGGTTCAAAGCGTGATGTAACGGCAGTGTTAGCTTAGAGGCTAACTGGTCCTGGAGGCTGTCAGGGGGTCCTGAACGGCTCCTGCAGGGTTTTATCCTGCTTTAGTTGTTTTAAAAATCAAAACTTATACCGGCTCTTAACCTCAGATAAATCAGTACATTTAATATATGCTCCATGTTCTAACAGGGATGGAAAGTGCAGTCTTTCAGAGCCGGTGTCCTGCTTGCTCTTCAGGTTCAATACCTGAATTATAAATATGACTCACTATGAGAGCTCTGCAGAACCTGCTGAGGTTCTGATTCAGACTTTAGTTCAGGTGTGTTGGTGCAGAAATATCTAGGACCTGCAGGACACCTGGTGTGGAGGTTTAAATCACAGAAAATAAAGTTCCTCAGGTAATCTCAACAGGTTTCTGTCTGCAGCTATCAGAAAGGTTCTGGTTTAAATCTGACTGGAGTCGTTGTTTAGATATTAACATCTGACCCAAACCGGTCAGCTGAGACAATCATTCATCAGTTGGTATGATCAGAAACCAATAAACCGATCAGGAACCAATAAACCAATCAGGAACCAATATACCAATCAGGAACCAATATACCAATCAGGAACCAGAACACCAGTGTCTCCATCCGACCAGTTTGACCTCAGAAAGGAGATGGACTGAAGCTTCTTTCTAAATGACAGTTTTATGGTTTTAAAAGACAAAGGTGAAACTGTTTGGACACAATTGGAGTAAAAATGTTGGGAGGCTTTCAAACATAACATTACGTAATGATAAGCATGGTGGTGGCAGCATCATGCTGAGGATCGATGTGCTTCCAGAAGCTGATGTTTAGACACGGTTTTATTTTCCAGGAGGAAAAGAAACTCAAACATATCAGGACCAGGAAAATATCGTATTGGACACATGAAACCTGGAATATAATATCAGGAAACCTGCAATAATTGATCATATTGGCAAATCCTAATATGACCTAATCAAGTATTATTGGTATTAATGTTAGTTTCAAACAAACACAAATTTCAGATAAAGTCGTCCAACCAGCAACTGGAAACATTCATGAATTCATTATTTCTTTATTTTAATGTTTGAGTTGCTGATGTAACAAACTGCTGCTGGTCTGAAGAATCGTAGATTTAAAATGATTAAAGTTTAGATGCAAAAAACAAAAAGTGAAATTCCCCTGAAAGCAGCTCCAGTGTTGAGGCTCTGATGATAAAATGTTTAGTTTTAGTTTTATACCCTGAATGTCAAAATATTTTGTTTCACCAGATTAATTATTTTATAAATTATAATGTTTAATAAACAAAACTGAGTCATTTATAACATTTCATCATATTCAGCAGCTGTAATTACCTCCAGTTTTCCCCAATAATTACAGCTGAATATTATTAAAGCATAAACTGATTATTAATGGATCAGTTATTGATCTGATATTGATCAGGCTGCTAGAAACGAGGGAGAACATGAAGCCTGATGAGTCTGCAGATGATTAAACAGTTTGTGCAACAGAAACTGTTTAACTGAAAAATGACTCTGATCTTATAGATGATATCAAATAATAACGGTAAATAATAATGACAGTAAAATATTGATGAAGCAGAATTCTGTATTGATAAACAAAATGTTGTGGTGAACGATGATGTCACTGGGCTCGGTTCGGTCCAGGACCCGGCGCTGACTGAACATCAGAACCACAGAGGCTGAAACATGAAATGTTTTCATTTGGCAGGATTTATAAATGAATTTCTAAAGGTTGTTTTTCATGTTATTGCTGACCTGCTAAAGACAAACAGCTTAATATAAAACAAGTTTTAAAAACTTAACTGCTCAAATTTTGTCAAATACAAACAATAAGTAAAAACAAAGGAAACCAGTAGTGATGCAACATCATTGATCAATACCAATAAATCGATCTATATCAGTTTTAGATGCATTTATTGAGACATTTTGAGCTTTTTATTTCAGTGTTTGATTCCAGTAGTAGAATACGGTGAATCGAGTTTTAGTTGTTTTTTTGTTTCTTAGTTTTTTGCCTTGGATGTAAATGAAACGGTAATATGTGATACTGGTAAAAAATCGTGTCATCTTCTAAACAAACCGATTAATGATGATGAATCCGGTGAAACCAGGACGAAGCAGCATGAAGGTCAAAGGTCGGCCTGTCGCGACGTGTCGCCTGTCGCACGTCGACAATAAATCGTCCCAGAAATTAAGATAAACGAAAATATGTATCACTATTTGTTTTTAAGTGGCATAAAAATAATGGCATAATAATGAAAGAACACCTTTTCAAAGATCAATAAACTATAAATTCTAATAAACATTTAACACTGAAACTAGAAAACATTTTAATGTCCAAAACAAATAAAATGAATGAATGTAAATAAAACTGTCCTAAAAAAGTTTTAGATGAGACCAAAACACCAGACTGAAAACTTTTATCATCCCACAAAGAGGAAAACAATAAATCATGCAAATGGAAATGATTGTATCAGTTATTGATCTGATATTGATCAGGCTGCTAGAAAGGGACGGGCCGGGTCCGTTCCTCGGTTTCCCTCACGCCGTCGCTCAGCCTGCAGAGGAAGTGGAGCAGAATCACCTGAAGCTGCGTTTCGCTGCAAATACGATGCTCTGCATTCGGCTAACATCGAAAAAACACAATTTCATAATTACAGAGTTTCTATTTAATAGATCATTTTAATTCATCATTTGTTTGATTGATTGATTGATTGATTGATTATTGCGACAGGTCTCATGGTCGGTTTTAGATTATAAGATTATAACGATGTCAGATTAATCTGCTGACGGTTTTGACCAGATTATCAGGATGAACGATAATCCAGGTTCTTCTTCTGCTTTCAGTCCCTGGATGACGACTGTACGCTGGAGGAAGAGGACGATGGGCTGATCGAGGAGGAAGATGAGATCGACCAGTTCAATGACGACACGTTTGGAGCCGGCGCCATCGGTGAGCAGTCGCCGCTTTCTTCTTCTCCTAATCTGTTCTGGGATTAAAGCTGCTCTGTGTTTCCAGATGACGACTGGCAGGAGGAGCACAAGCGGCTGGCGGAGCTGGATGAGCGGGACGGGCTGGGCGCCGGGCGGGGCCTGGGGGGCGGAGACTCCTCCCCAGGCCCCGCCTCCGCCGCGGGTCGGCTCCCTCTGCTCGGCTTCTCCTCTGGGCCGCCGGGTCAAGGTGGGTTTGGACCGCCGGCGTTCCTGACAGCGGACCGCTCCGGGTTCTGATGCGTTCCCGTCTGTCTGTCTCTGCAGACGCAGACGAGCGGTCGGGAGGCGGCGACCTGGCCGAGTCTCTGGCCCGCTTCATTCTGGACGCCGACCCGGCCATCGCCGGCGTCGGAGCGGCAGAGAGGCCCGGTTCGGCTCCCGGGCCGGCCGGCCCGGTTCTGTCGGCGCTGCGGGGCCCGGACCAGCCCAGAGTCCTGCAGCAGCCCGCCTCCATCCCCCCCAAACACCAGCTGCCCCCGGGACCTCCCGCCTCAGGTGAGCAGGTCACCTGGTGACGTGTCACTTCCTGATTGGACGCTTTCTGAGCTGAGATGTTTGTCCCGCAGGCCTGCCCGCCTCCTCCGTGCTCAGCTACCAGCAGCAGCAGCACCTCCTGCGCAGAGGAGCCGCTCCAATGGGCCAGGTCCGTTCCTCGGTTTCCCTCACGCCGTCGCTCAGCCTGCAGAGGAAGTGGAGCAGAATCACCTGAAGCTGCGTTTCGCTGCAAATACGATGCTCTGCATTCGGTTAACGTCGAAAAAACACAATTTCATAATTACAGAGTTTCTATTTAATAAGAAACAACTAAAATCACACATGAATGAGTTTATTCACAAGATAAAACATTAAGAAACCATCAACCTCCATCGACTTCCTGTCGTCGTCGTCTTCATGGTTTCCACCAGTAGCAACATCCTGTTGTTGATCACATGACTCATGATGTTTCCATGGAGGTTTGCTAAATAAAATCATCGTAGCGGCTTCATCGAAAACAGCAGCTGCTGTTTATCCTTTGCTTTTGATTAATCAAGTTTAGTTCAAGAAACCTTCAAATTAAAGTCTGAACTCTGTTCAACGGTACCAGTACCACCCCGTCCAAAACTCACAGAACCAACAGCCGATGGATGTTTGCTGTTTTATCCTCATAATCCAGATTAAACATTTCTCCTGCGTCTCACTGATGTGACTCGACGTGAGGAAAACCCATTTCCCTCGTCGCTGTTTCTGTCGCTCTGACAGTTCGATGCTTCAATCATCCAAATCGACCAGTTTGTCCTGCGCTGCGTTTTCTACTAAACGTCTGTTTCACTTTTTTGCATGAAACTTGGTCCAGTAAATGTTCAGGTCCTGCTCTGAGGTTCGGATTGTTTTACCCGTTTTAGTCGCCGTGTTTCCATCTACGTGTTTCTTATACTGGTTTTGAAGCATCGCCTTAGAAACAGTCGATTGAAAAAATCAGTGTAACTTTCACAGTTTTTACTTGAGGCTGTTTGTGAAAGAGTTGGTAGGTTTAGGTTAATCATGGAGGCTGCAGATGTTCCCTGAGCCGATCCTGGACCGATCCCCCAGGAAGCAGCAGCGTTCTGCTGAAGGTCGCTGTAGAGGTCACCGGATCTGACCTTTAGCTCTAACTTTCCCCCTTCGTCTCCACAGATGAACTCTCACAGCATCTGGGACAACAGCATGGGCTTCGGGCCGGTCAGCGTCACGCCGGCACTCGTCACACACATGGAGGTGAGAGAAACGCCTTTCTCCTTCCAGAACCCGTCCAGAACCAGAACCAGGCCTGAGCTCCATCTTCTGCTCCGTCCTCAGGACAGTCCACTGATGTCCATCATCAAGGAGGTGGGGCTTCCGAAGCGCCCGCCTCAGGGGAGGAGCGACGAAGGTCACGACCTGTCAGAGAGGGCCCCGCCCCCCCGCTCCTCCTCTCCTGTGATTGGCTCTCCTCCGGTGAGGGCGGTGCCTATCGGGACGCCGCCCAAACACCCGCTGAGCCTGAACCATCAGGTGAGCCGCAGCGACGGACGGACAGACGCTCAGACCGTAGCCTGTTCCTCTGAGTCTCCAGCTGTGTGTGTGTGTGTGTGTGTGTGTGTGTGTGTGTGTGTGTGTGTGTGTGTGTGTGTGTGTGTGTAGATCCACCACCCCACGGCGGTCCATGTCAGAGCCCCGGTCCAGCACCGGTTCCCCGCTCCGTTCCCTGAGCGCCTGTCCCCCAACACGCTGCTCAACTTAGCCGTGAGTCGTCCCGCCTGCTGCCTGTAATCGGTTCTGCTGTCCGGTTCTGGTCCTGATGTGGAGAACTGACCCGTTGTCTTGGTTCTGACCCGTTGTTTTTCCTTGCTCTGTTCAGAACTCTCCGTTGTGCCGCGGTCCGTTCCCTCCCAGAGTCGGCCCGGTTCTGTCTCAGCTGCAACGGGCTCAGCTGCTCAACTCCCAGGTCGGTACCACAGAATCCAGGTGAACAGGTTTGGTTCCGGGTCCAGGACAGAACCAAGCCCTGGTTCTGATCCAGCTTTCATTTCCAGTTCTACCAGAGAACCCCATAAGAACCCGGTTTAAAGGTTCTGACCCACAAACGCAGCTCGTTTCCTTTTCTTTGGTTAAGAAAACCAGCAGAACCGGGATGATCCATTCTCTGGTTCTGGTTCTGGTTCTACTCAGACCTCAGATCTTTAGGTTTCTGTGATTCCTCCTGGAACCGTTCAGCTTTTAACTCTGATCCAGAACCGGATCCTGGAGAACGACGGATCCGGACTAACTTGTGGATCACAGGAAGTTCTGGTTCTGCTCGGTAGGATCATCAGAGTTCAGCCTGAAACCCGATTATTAATCCTCTAAGCACAAAGCATTGCTGCAGAACCTGACGATGTTCTGCAGCTTCATCCGGGTCAGGGGTTCTGCTCCTTCCTGGAGATTTCCTGAAAGTGGTTCTGCTGTTTCCTGGTTGGTCACTTCCTGTTTGTACCTCAGTGTTCTGGCTCCTGATTGGATGGTTTATTAGTAGCTGCAGCTCTATGAAACCTTCTCCCTCCGTCCACCAGGTGGCGGGTTTTCCTCGCGGCGGCCCCGGCCCTCCCCTGCTGGCCGGCGGCGGGTTCAGGCCCTTCTTCGGGGGCCCCCCTCCTCCTCACGGCCACAGGATGGGCCCCCCGCCGCCCCACGGCCCCCCCAACCACACGCCGCCCATCAGGCACAACACGACGCACCTCCACCCTCAGCACCGCCGCATGCTGACGCAGCGCATGCAGAGCCGCGGCGGGTGAGGCACGCTAGCTCCCTTAGCCTCGTTAGCTGCTTTAGAAGCTGCCGTTCTCAGAGTCGCCTGCTTGTTCTGCAGCGACCGGGTCAGAACCGGGCTGGACCGCCGCAGCCGGGACCCGTACAGCAACCTGATGAGCCAGAAGGAGAAGGAGTGGGTGACCAAGATCCAGATGATGCAGCTGCAGAGCACCGACCCGTACCTGGACGACTACTACTACCAGGTAGAACCGCCGGGGTCGCCGGGTCACATGACCTTTAACACGCTAACGGTTCTGGTTCTGCTCCACTTTGGATAACAGCAGCGTGAAGGTCATGACCTTTCACTGCTGCGGTGGACAGTCGGGCGTCTGTCTCCGTGTCCATCTGTCTCTCCGTCTCCCTGCAGAACTACTATGAGAAGATGGAGAAGCGTCAGGAGAAGGAGCGAGACAGCAGCAGCAGGAAGGAGCACACCACCAAGCTCATCACGCCGCAGGTGGCCAAGGTGGAGCACACCTACCGGCCAGGTGAGGGCCAGCAGGGACCCTCTGTGTCCCCTGTCCTCCCTGTCTCCTGACGTCCTGCGTGTCCCTCTGCAGTTCAGTTTGCAGGATCTCTGGGGAAGCTGACGGTGTCCAGCGTCAACAACCCGAGGAAGATGATCGACGCCGTGGTAACGACCCGCTCCGACGACGAGGTCGGTCCAAACGTCCGTCCAGGTGAAGACGTCCCTCAGCTGTGGCCTGTCCTGAGTTCTTCTGTCTGTCCTCCTGCAGGAGAAGAGGGAGAAGCAGGTGTGGAACAAGAGGCGCCAGGTGCTGTACACCGTGGAGAAGGTAGGGGGCGCTGCGCCCAGCTGACGCTCAGTTCCTTATCGCTTCCTGTAGCGTTTTAACCTGATGATGTAACGAAGACGCTCCAGAATTTACTGTATTTTTCAATAATCTCCATCTCAGATTAACATTTACAATCAGACTCAGTTCATTTAAACCAGATTTGATTTAGTTTGAACCGAATGCAGCATGACCGTTTTCTGAATCTGAGTTTATTTCCCAACTCAGTGAGAATCAATCAGGAATCAATAAGTTCTGATCAGCTCCATCCCTCAGATGTACAGTTTGCTGCTGGAGGTCCAGGACTTTGAGAAACGCTTCGTCCAAACGCCAGAGGAGGACAGAGACGCCCTGATGGAGCAACACAAGAGCAACACGGAGCAACTGAGCAACTCGCTGCAGGACGGGGACTGGGAGGACAGGTGGGACTGGGAGGACAGGTGGGACTGGGAGGACTGGTGGGACTGGGAGGACTGGTGGGACTGGGAGGACTGGGAGGGACAGGTGGGACTGGGAGGCAAGGTGGGACTGGGAGGACTGGGGGGACTGGTGGGACTG